GGCTCATATGTCTAAATTTAAAATGCCATAAATATGTATCACTAGTAGAGTAAAACATTTGTTTGTAGTTTACAGAAGTAATATTTATTTTATTTGTGGCACAATTTAAAATATAAAGACTATTAATCAAATATCCAGCATGAATAAAAGCTTTATTCTTTAAAATATAAACTGCATCATGCGTGGAATTTATAAAATAGCCTTATCCTATTAAACATGAAACAAAATTCAAATCCCGCTTCATTCGCAGGCCATAACAACAGTCTCTAAGAATTAAACGCCTACCACTACTGGAATAAAAGTAAACTACTATTACTGCTCTTACTGAAGCTATAGCTCCTGTGTCGACGATAACTTTAAATTGGTCCTTACTGAGTCTTCTGCTCTCCTGAAGCATCGCATAGATATGCATATATGATCAGTAGTTTAGAGTCTACAACCCATGAATTTGTAGAATCAACCATCAATTTCTGGGAAAGTCTCTTCAGGGTTGTAGAGGGGCCTGCTAGCCTCTAATAGAACCCCTAGAGATGGAACTAGAGCCATTTAATCCATTCCACGACCATCAAGAACTATGACCTTGAGGCCAAACATGACTTAACAATAAAAACTCACCAACACTCTGCTTTTTAGCTAGTGCATCAGGGCAGTCTTTCTTCTAATATCATTTGCGACCACAGTGGAAACACTTCCCTTTTCGGCGTTCTATCTGATTTAGACTTTTTGTTGCCTAACTTCTTGTAAGATCTCTTCCTCTTCTTTCCAACTCCACCTTGGCTTGAAACTAGAGAAGCTAGTAATTGCCGCATGACCATGGCCACCTTTTCCCTTAAGATCATTTTTCACATTTTGCAACTCATTCATCAACTTAGTCAATAGCATATTCATCTTGTGCAAGTGATAATCCAAAGTAAATTGTGAAAACATATCAAATAAAGAGTTCAATACTATGTCAACTTGTTTCCTGATCAATAGTTGCACCGAGATTTTCCGCCACGTTAAAGTGTGCAATCATAATCAACATATGATCCTTCATAGGCATTCCAAGTTTTATGTGAATGCACTTTAAAGTATGAGTTGCCTCAAAATGAGCCCTCCTACTTTGATGTCCAAATATGCCCTTCAGACTTTCTAGCACGTCGTAAGAGGCCACCTGACTTTCAAGTTTTTGTTGTAAAATGTTTGACATGAATACCAAAATGTAACAATAAATCATCTTGTCGGTTGAGATACACTTATCATATGCAGACCTCTTGGACTTGCCTGTTGTCTTAGTAGGTTTTTCAAGACATTCTTTTTCCACAACAAAATATAGTTTTTTGGCAATAAGTACAAAAGTCAAATTACGTTTTCAATCCACATAATTATTCCCGACAAGTTGGTTTTGTTTTAGAATAACTGAAAATGCACTAAAAGATTTAAAAATAACAATTTATTGTATATTAAAATTGACCAATGAATAAAATTTAGCATATGATGCATCAATGCATATGTAGATCTATCTAACTACAGTAATATAACGATGACTCGATCCTTGTGATCTAACATGCCTCTCTATAGAAAGGTCAATGTATCCACTAATCAAGTTGAGACCCTCCCATTAGACAAAATATATCTGACAACAAATATCTATATTAAGCCTAGCATCAGTTTATTTGGTCACCAAAATTATAAGTGAAAGCCTTTATAAGGGGTTCGTAGATAATTTCGATTTGAGTGTATAACCTTTGTCCCAATATCTAAATACTTGAAAATAATTTCACGCCATCTACAGGATAATCACAATTTATATTCTACCTCAACGATTTATCATCAAGAAATTCAATCAAACAATTTGAACCACGCGGCCTCCCTATAGGGAGTCTGTTGCATTACCGGTACGAGACAAGCGAGTTACTTTGCATCCTACTTAATATTTTAACATAATGAATTTTAATTTTAAATAATTACCAATTGTTCATATTAATCGGATTAACATACAATTTAATTATTACGATTTTCCATCTAGAAATTTTAATTTAAATTAAATTAATCACAAAAAAAATCGGTGTACAATGATATGTATTCTATTCACACATGATATTATAAATACATATATGTGTCATGATATTTAGAACGATAATATTTCAAACAATAATTTAAAGCATTCATAAAGCAATAAGTTAACAATTATTTGATACCTAAAAATCGGCTGAAGAATTAAATTAAAAACTAAATGGACCTAAGCCCAATACTTAATAAAAATCTTCAACAAAAAAATCTTTAAATATCCAACGGTAGCAGCTGCACATCAATAGGATTCTGCCACCGTAAAAATTAATTAATTTCGAATTCGACCTATCCTGATTTGACCCGATTTGCAAAAATGAATTCAGACCAAAATTCTACCCAAACTCTGCACATGCTGGAATTCAAGTATATGCAATAAGCTGCTGTGCCATGGTAGATAGCTTGCTGCCTTCTGCCTAATTTTAATTTTAATTTTTTTTGTTGCAAATTCTTGAATTCTTCTTCGTTGTCGTTTCGTCTTCAATTTTTACAAGATACAAAATTATAAGAATCGTGATAATTACATAAAACTTACGTTCGTAAGCTCACAATTTTTAATCTAATTGAACAGAAAATTAAATCAAGATAATGAAGTCATATCCACCTATCTTGTTACGGGCTTGAAATAACGAATTACAATCAAGAACTGTCACAAATAATTGGTTCACAATTTAAAATAATCCAATTACACAATCACCACATAATAAAAAAATTTTTAGACATTGTTTGACTAGAACATGCAATCAAGATTAAAAAATATTAAGTACGTGAACAATCTAAATTGCTCTAATACCAGTTAGAATGCAAAAGCGGAATTACCCAGAAATTAAAAAATCTCTTTAATTCAATAAACAATATTGTCTTAATGTTCACGTGTATATTATATCAAAAATAAATTATTCGAAATTTTACTTAAGTGTGATGGTCAATTCTTGAATTACTTTTGAATTACGAATTTCTATCCTTTTGGATTAGAAACTTCTAGCTTTTGATTGCAAGAACTTGATGCTTCAAACATCAAAGTTTTCTATAGTATTTTCCAAAGTCAATACTACACCGGTAAGTGAGCATCTTCTTTTAATTAACTCATGAAACTAATTCTTGATTTGGACAATTGATAAAAGCAAGAAAAATGATTTTTCTCTCTTTTCCTCTTTTCAAATTTGAACACTATGAAATTATATATTCTGATTCTTGTAGGATTTCTATTCAACACCATAGGATGTCTAGGTTCTATTTAATCTCCATTTATAAAGATAATATAGTTCCAATCATTGTAGAATAATAATTCCACATTCAAACAAGAGTTCTAATTAAAATCCAAGTATGAGTTTTAATTAAAATCCAAATTCAATTTGTTCACATTTAATTATAGGTATAGTCCTAGAACTTTAATTGTAATTATAATTAAATTTACAATTTTCTTAGTAATTACAACTATGTACAAAAATTTATGGTAATTACAATTAAACCCAAGCTATTATAATTGTCGTAATTAAGTTTCAAAACTTTCTAAAACTACCATAGCGACCTGATCAAATATATATTAATCTAATCTTTAATAATTAGATCATGTCTAGTCGACTATAGACCACCTAATTTAATTATTAGTGTTTTATTTTTCCACTAAAGATAAAAGATTGAATCCTTGGAATATATAAGATCATAGAAATCAATAAATCCGTAATACTTTATTCTGATCTGTCATATATGTACTTTATTCTTGTCTGAGATCCGATAATTAGGTATGAGTATAAATGACCGTTTTTTCCTTTTAATTTTCTCACTAACTTAAGTATCATTTTTTTTCAACGATGCTGTAAACTAATTATACATGTCGAAATTTAGCCGTCGGTAAACGCTGAATTCAAATTTTAATCGTTTAACAGAAAATATTTAAATAGTCACTCTATCCATTTTTTAGGGTGACGATTCTCGACACGAATTCATGTTCTCTATTTCGACCATTCTCAAGTTTTAAACTCATCGAAAGGTTTGACCAATCAAATTGATCTAACCCATTGATGAATCAAATAACCATTAAAATCACGAAAAAAATATGCATAACCCTATAAAGATATATAGATGAAATACACGGAGATCAAGTAGAATTTAATTTTCTGCAAGATCATACTATATAATTAAACTCGACATGTAGTTCGTTTAATACATTCCAAGTGTATTACTGTTACCTTCAACTATTTCTGTGATAAGGATAAATTGCAAACCTAAATAGTAAATTGGTCAACACTATAACCTTCTAATACAAGGTGCCAATCCTTATACATTGGCCATGAATTATATTATTTATGATCAAAATATAAATTACGTTACACTGTACTTTTCAACTTAAGTACCCAACTTATATTATTACAAGTGATTATATGCACTTTAATTCTCATGCTTAATAATAAATAAATGTAAATAAATAAAGTAAACACAATTTTATTCAATATAAGAATATTTATTATTTTTTACATCAACAAAACTATACTATATAGACATACAACCCAACATCATTATTGTATAAAGATAATATTTTGAATAGTGATTTTTTGAAAAAATGTATACTTAAAATGCGAGAAAAAGTTTTGTTTAAAATATTTTATTTTATGAATGTGAGGTTAAAAATGAGTATGAGAAATAAATTTTTTTATTCTAAAGAGAGTCAATAGGGGCTCTATTTGTGAAAGTTTGAAGATCACGTCTCCAAATTTCTTATATTTTTCAAATTTAAGTCCTTATTTGATTTCCATTATTTTAAAAAAATATGTTTCTCTATCTTATTTTTAATTATATATTTTTCAGTAAAATAATATTAAAAACAAATCTAAATTTTTAACTATACGTTATCCAGCAAAATACTATTTCAAAGTTCATTTGAAGAAAAAAACAATTATTATCGGGTCCAATTTGTATCCGACTGTCAAACCCGCAATGTTCGACTACAGGCAAAAGGATTAGCCAAATGATATGAGTGAGAGGATAACACACACCAATACATTTCCAATCCCATTCCAAGAAACCAAAAATGGCTGCGTCTTACGCTGCAGCTTCTCCTTCATCGATCGCCTTCTTCTCCTCTTCAATTTTCATCTCCACACCAACCGCTTCCTCAAGGCTAAACTGTTTTTTCAAATCCCACAACACAAAATTCCCATTGAGAGCTTTAGTTCGTTCTGAATTGGCTACTCTCCCTGTACTTTCCTTTGAAGGAACCCAGGTAGGTACTGCCACTCTGGACCTCAAGTCCGCTCCTGCTGAAACTGCACGCGCTGTCGTCCACCGTGGACTCACCACTGACCTCACGAACCGCCGCCGTGGCACCGCTTCTACACTGACTCGCGCCGAGGTCAGGGGCGGTGGGAGAAAGCCTTACGGTCAGAAGAAAACCGGCCATGCTCGCCAGGGTTCGCGGAGAACCCCGTTGCGACCCGGTGGTGGAGTTGTTTTCGGGCCCAAGCCTAAGGATTGGTCTATTAAGATTAATAAGAAAGAGAAGCAGCTTGCGATTTCCACTGCCATTTCTAGTGCTTTTGAGAACGCGATTGTGATTGAGGATTTTGATGAGAAATTTGAGAAGCCAAAAACCAAAGAGTTCATTGCAATGATGAAGAGATTGGGACTGGACCCAAAAGAGAAATCTACGTTTTTGATGACAGAGGTTTCGGATAATGTGAAACTTTCAAGTCGGAATATTGGGACTTTGAAAATGCTGACGCCCAGGACTCTGAATTTGTTCGACATTCTGGACGCGGAGAAGTTAGTTTTCACCAAAGGCGCAGTTGAGTTCTTGAATGAGAGGTACGGGTTTGATTTTGTGGAAGACGAGGACGAGGAATATGAAGAGGAAGAGGCAGAAGAAGTAAATGCTGATGAAGGTTAGGATTTTCATTTTGTTTTGGGTAATTTGAAACTTGTAATTCTCCATTGTTGGTATACTCTCTTTAATCATTTGTGCTATGGTGAAATTGTTAAATGAAGCTAACTCTAGCGTAGTACATTGTGCAAGGTTTACCTCCAAATCTTATAAATACACTTTTCAGTTATACCGAGTTGATATGGAACATGCTAGAGAAACGAACCCAACTCATCCCTGTGTACACCTTCTCGGGTACCTAGTTTAAAGCTCATGGCCTACTTCATTACTCCAAAAAAGTACAGTGTGAAAATTTGCAGTCACCTTTTACATTGCACGACTCGACTCTATCAAGATTGTTCATTTGTGGTATCTCTGCGTAAGCTGCTAGAAATAGTAGTTATACTAGTAATCAAGTTCTTTTTGATGGTTTTCTATGTACTGTTGAGAGAAGAGTTGTGATAGGCTCCAATAGACCTGTTCATTTTTTATTATCCGCTGCATTTTATAGTTCAAATATCAAAACTCTTTTAGTTGATTCTCAGGAAATTAGCATTTTTAGCTGGTCGATTGATCATCATTATCTGGTATCATAGGAGGGATCAGATGGCGCGTAGTTCCTGTGACATTTTATGAAACCCAGGAGTCCGTTCTCTCACAACTGATGTCAACTTTTTAGTTGGCATCATTTAGTAGTTTAAACATCTCTGCTACATTTGATGGTCTCAACATCATTAACCCAGTATAGTTGAATCTTTACGGGAAATAAGTATTTGCATATACAGATTAGAAAACATGAACATAAGCATCAATTTTTGCATCCCCTTGGCGATTGTTTGTACCTTGAGGTTCAGTGAGGGAATTCACTGGACGGATATTCTAAATTAGAAGTGGACAAACAGTTCTAATAAGTCATTGCCGCCAACATAAAACTAATAGAGGCTTCATGAATCAGTGCTAAAGCTATTGGAAAATTTGCATGTATAAGCATGTAAATACGGGCTTAAATTGAAACTTATGCCTGTTGGGCTCCATTAAAATGAGATTTTGGAGGAAAATGCGTTTTGGAATAGAATAGTGATTTTTTGGAAAAATGTGTGGTTGAAAAATAAGAAAAAGTTTTTGGTTTACGTGTAACATTATTTTATGGGAGAATGTGAGGTTGAAAATGATTTTTGGAAAAATGGAGCCCAAATAGTTGCAGATACAGTTATACCCTATATGTTATACAAACAATGATGTTGACACTTATTTAGTTTGCATTTCTTTTCCTTTTGTGGGCATGTATGTGGGGTATATAAACTTGAGGTTTTAGAACTGTTGAAACAGATGTATCTTGTGTACATCTTCCTACTAGTCAAGCATTTTCTACGACATATAAAAGAGGATATAAATAACGATGCTGTGTTGTGGTTGTCTAAGATCCTGCAGTGGATCTTCAAGTGGATGTGGTAATGAGACAAACGGTGTGGCAAAACACATAGTTGATTCCAAATTAATTAGGGGATAAGACCTAGTTTGTTAGAGGATTTTGACTTGATCAACTCTTACATTGTTCAGCACTGGTTGCTTCTTACATTCTTTTACTGACATTGTAATCAGGAACAGAGGCAGAAGGGAATTCTGAATCAACAGAATGATGCTGCGACACATTTCTTTGATCTGTCAAGGATCTTTTCTACCCAAAGCTGGTGAATGATTTCTGTATTGCCAAAACCGACAGCCATTTTGTGTTTCTGACAAGTGTATCATATTGCAAGCCAATTCGAGATGTTTTGAAGTAAACATCATTTCATTAATCTCCTTCTTGTTGTCTTGGCCTGGTATCCTCATTCACTATCTTTTCGAACTTTTCTCTGTGTTGGTAATTAAGGCCATTTGGTTGCAGGGAATTGTTGTGTAGTCAATTGACAGGGTTCTTTCTATTAGATGGTTTTTAGTTTACTCAGGAAAAAAAGAACTTGTTGGCTTTACAGCGTCATGAGTAATACTACTTTTCTTTCCATATTATATATGTTTAATCCATTCATATAATTTCATTCTTCTTGATGATTTTTACTTGCGCAATCTTTCGTCACGAGCAATTAGTGAAGCCATAAATTGATCGAGTGCCATAGGATCCAAATTCTTGTATTAGGATTTCTAAGCACGAATCTGTCTAAAAACATGTACTAGATATCAATATATGTTTCTCTTTGAAATGGTTTTATATAGCTAACACATGAACTCGACTCATTTACTCGTGTGTATGGTTCTTGAGGGAACTTCAGATCCTTTTGCTCTGGAGAGCAGATTCTCCATTAAATTTAATTTGTAATTAAAACATAAAAATAAATAAGTAAACAATGTGGTAAACTTGATACTTCAATCCTCACCCTAGCCCTTGCCTCTCGAAAATCCTGTGCGGCGAGGGATGAGGAGGGCTGCCTTCCCATGTTGCCATCCTTGTATCGGATTGGACATTATGTTTAGTTGGGCATATGATGTTTGATTTTTCCTGTGATATTGATCAATTGCTGCTTCATTTTTTTCATTTCAAATTTAGTTATTGATTGAATTCGGAGATTATGACTGTGTGTTGAATACCATAATTTCTAACCAGTTGATGTTGCAGATGCACCTAATGCGTGTTTGGATTGTCTCAACTTATAAGTTGATAAAGCAGTGATGAAGATTTCTGAGTTCTACGAAATATGTGGACAAGTGTAATAGATGTGAATTCTACGAAATGTGATTGAAAATTGAAGTTTTGACCAACTTAAGTTATTGGTTAAGCCAATCCTAACATGCACTAGGCCATTTTTTTTAATGTAATAAAGATGTAAGAAAGTGGATCAAATTCATTTCTCATTTTCATTTTTATCCAAAAATCTTCCCAACTCTATCAAGTATGAGTAAAGGCTAAAAGAAAAACTTCAAGTTTGAACCACTATGGCTTCAGAATTCTAGCTGTATAGAAGTTGATCTATCTAATGGAAGGAGACAAGTGTTCTATCATTAGGAAAATGTTATTTGTACCCTGCGTTTGACATGTTGAGTTACCTAATGTGAGTGAGGAGGTCGGTCCCCACACATTTATTGGGGTAGCGCCCCGACCACCCATGTGAGTAATAGTAATCCGGAGTGTCAAACTCTGGATACCTGTAGCAAAACTCGTATCATTATGCCAGAGGCTACATTTTCCTTTTGTATTAACAGCAAACCACATGGACGTGTGCCTATATGGGGACCTGGTAAGAATGGCCACTCTCTATAACTATTCTTCTTGTGCAGATGGATTCCCCAAATACTCCAATGGGTCTGGATTTGGGGTGATGCTACATTTATATCAATGTATCTATAACGGTGTCCATTTCTCTTATATATAAGGTTACTTACTTTCAATAAAATATAATTAATTTGAAGTGGGTCTCCCTCCATGTGATAAGGGTGAACACAATATAAAAAGCATATTCCCTGAATTTAATTTTCCACATGATCATGTGATGAATAAGTCAACACTAATGTAATGCTAACCATTTATGTACCAATGTATCAAAACACTCCAAATGTACCAATGTAATGCTAACCATTTATGTGACATAGACAAATCTCAAATTCAAATGATGAATAAGTCAACATTAATACGTTTTTAGTATAAGTCCCTATTTGTCATCTATTTTCTCTCATTCTTTTTTTCACAGTACCATTTTCAATCACACATTCTTCATTAAAATAATATTATAAGTAAATAAAATTTTTTTCCTTCTTTTTGAATCACACATTTTAACATCAATCACTATTGCATAATACATTCTTTACAAATAATGGGTGACAAACACACCCTAAGATATCAACTATCCTATATTGGTTGTGAATAAATTATTTATAATTAAAATATAAATTTTATCGTAAGATACGTTTCAATGCAAGCACTCAAATTATATCTCAGAATTGGTCACATGTACTTTAATTCGCATGCTCAATACAAAATAAATGCAATAAAAATAAAAATAAGAATAAAAGTTTTATCTATTACAAAATCGTTATTCTATCATAGCAAAACCATATTATATGGGTACATAACTCAACATCAGCAGTTGAAATTACGCTAATTATGCCATTTTTGAAGACAAAAGGCGTGAACCAGCAAGAATTATTCAGCAGGCTTCTACTTATATCGAGGAATATCAGTTGGTTTGAAACAAGAAGCACCAATGGGCTGGGGAAAGATCTACGCAAAAAGAAGTGGAAAACTCCTGTCCAGACATGCTTGAAACTAAATGGGGATGTGGTTACGAGAGATGTGAATGGTTTCTTTGGCATTAAGGGAAAATGGTGGCAGCTTTCTCTGATCTGTTTATGGGAACATTGATGCTTACTCTGGTGAATGTTCAATAATCCTAAAGTAAATTAAGCCCCCGTTTTGTAGCAATTTTTCACCAAAAAAATCAATTTTTTTACTGTTAATTCACTATTCCAACTGTTACTTTTGACTTTTTCTCTCACATGTGGGACCTAATTTTCCCTCTAACGATCAAAAAATCAATTCTCATAATCATTACCGATCAAACTCCTAAATTTGCGAAAAATAGATGTATCGCGAGTGGAGTGAGACTGTTGTAATGTCATTGTGACAATCGAGAATCCAAGCTTTTATGCCCAGGAGAGCGCCATCTTGCAAAGCATTCTTTAGTTAACGACTTCATTTTGTGACCTCTCTCTTTTAGATGTTAGCAAGGACGCAAACACGACAATAATTTTTACATTTTCAGCATTATATTTTGGATTAGAAAATTCTGTTCGTTTTTTCATCCCCAAAAATAAAAAATAAACATTAAAACAGCCCTTCCAGCCTTTGCAAAAGTTGATACTACTCGAATTTTTGGTCTTGCAGGGCTAGCATAGCCCATACGGCGCTACTGTCACATAATTTTTTTAAAAATTTATTTGTTTTGTTTAATTTTCTACAAGAATAGAAAATAAGAGTCCTAGTAGACCATGTCCTAGAGAGCGAAGCTAACCCGTCTCTCTAGATGAACTCACAGCCCTGATCGTGGGAAGACTTGATTTTTTAGTTTTGTGTTGTGTTCATCAATTAATTAAAAAATAAATAAAAAAATAGATGTCAAGAAGGTCCCTTTAGGCCGCCGCCTAAAGTGCCAAACTCAACTCGGCTCTTTAGATGGATTGGCCAACTGTGAGGACCATAATCAAGAAAATGACAACGGCACGGGTGATATCTTGACAGATGTCATGTCATGGTAGAAGGCGTACGGGATGTTCGAACAATGTGCATATTCTGGAAGGAATGAAGCAAAACATGAGGTTGGTTCTGTGATGCGGCAATAATCGAGACATGATGATATTGAATTTACTTGATGATTGCATTGCAAAACAAAATTTGGGACATAGGTCAGATTTTGCATTTGATCGATGTATTGATATGAGCAAATGTTCGGCAACATTGAGACCTTGCTATTCAATTGACTTCTGTCCATGAATTCAGTGGTCAAACCAAGTATTCGTTACAATTAGTTATGTCATGTATTTGAATTATGGGCAGTTTTCAGCCATGCGGGGGCTGAAAAGCTTAAATTCGTAAAACTGACATTAGTAATTTGGAGTGTAAATTGCCATACAAAATTGATTCTTTAAATTCTAAGTGTTGAGTGCTTTCAATTTACAGAGGCAGATTATGAGAGTTTTATGAGGCGACAAGTGTGTGTTGGCCTTTTCATATATTTGTAACGAGTTTCTTTATTTTGGTTGAGTAATAATAGTTTGAATGGGTCCCGTAAATTCTGTGTTTGCTTTAGTTAATTCAATTTTCTGCATACATAGGGCATGTTTGAGCCCATTTTGGGTTAAAATGCATTTTAAAATAGTAGGTTGATGGAGAATGTGCAATTAAAAAGTAAGGAAAAATTTTGAGTTTGCCCATGATATTCTTTTATTGAAAATTGTATGGTTGAAACGAAGAGAGAGAAAATGGGAATCAAACAAGGGCTTAGTTTAATTTCATGAGTTTTTATAACTGAATTCGCATAAAACGTGTTTTGTATGATTGGCGATTAAATATTTCAATGCCACTGCAAGGAGTTTGATAAATTTCGTGTTAACCTGGCGACACCATCCATTGTTTAGGATCCTCGACTCGACCTTTTTTTTGGTCAAAAAAATAAATAAATAAAAGAGCCTAGAGGATACGTTCACTAATTAGTTAATATCGATGGGACTACAAGTATAATTATTCAAATTTCGCGCGGCGACTCTGTGCATACCCAAACTCTTTTCACATATACATCTGTTTAATTTATTGAGAATAGCGTGAAGGGGTGTATTCAATTGAAATTTTTAATAACTTTTTTATATTTAAAAAATTTAAAGGTATTCAATGTAGACTTTTTAAAACTCTCTAAAAATATTAGTGTATTCAATTGAGAATTCTATAGATTTTTAAGAAGTCTCTAAAAGTCACAGTGTATTCAATTGAAACTTTTATAAACTTTTAAAATTTTTCTAAAAATCATTGTGTATTCAATTAAATTTTTTCGAGGTCTCTATAAATCTAAGTGTATTCAAATTTTAATGACTTCAGAAGTTTCTAAAGTACTAACTTTTAAGCAGAAAATACTAATATAAAATCTCAAAATTTGTCTCTTATTAATTACGAGATTTTGGGAGACTTTCACGAACATTTTTTTTTTCAATTTATCTTTTCTTTTTCCTTCTACGAACATAGAGGAATGATTAAGATTTATTTTTTCTATTGATTATATTTATTTCTATTTATCTTTATTTCTCTTATTGTTTATCTCTATTTTTTATGGAAAAAATTAAATTGGATTCTTATAATTTTTCTTTCTTTTTTTCATTCATTTTTCTGTGAAAAATATCTATTTTTTTTATTAAATTATAAGATTTTATATAACACATTTATAATTAAATTTAAATATATTGATTTTTATTTATTTTTAAAAGTATATTATATTAATAAAATTGAATATTAAATTTATTTTTTATCATAT